AGACATTTGAAGTTCGCCAAACTCGTTGGGACTATGTAGCGGATAATTGTCTTCTTTTTATATATATCAGGTTAGGTCCTTGCCTCTCATAAATTAGAGGCCTTGTGCCACCGAAGTTGATCGTATATTTGTTGTAATTTAACTTTTTTACTTTACGGACCTTATTTTTACTATAGGGATTTTTTTTTTCATCTTCATCATAACAATATATTATAAGTCTACTGCAGAATATAGGCCTCGCCATGAATAACATCACAGTAAAGATGTATGCCATAATAGCAACGCTTTGCAGTCGGGTAAGCAACTGCAGTTTATTTATTATTTTATTATCAGGAAGATACTGCTGGCTACTTTCTGTTTCATTTCCTTCTGCCGCTTCGTACAATACCCATATGACTTTGGGTCTAATCGGGCAAATGTACAATAACACGTCAGCAGTAATATTTTATAGTAGTACACTGATGATGGTAATCATAAATATCTAATAATGTAATTATTCTTCAGTTAGTTGTTAGTAGTAGTCAGATATTTATTAGTATTGAAATATATAAAAATAAAATAGAAATAAGTTTAAGTGAATAGGTGGTAGGCCTCCTTCTTTTCTGCTTAGAAGACCTTCTGGGTAAGTACCGTCCTCTTAGCTATTTCTACCGCCATAATATAGCTATGCTTGCAAGAGTATAGGCAGGCAATTTAATTACAGGCTACTAAGATGGAATCACTCACAAGCACCTCTTAGGACTGTCAGACATTCCTGGGTCTGCGAGGCACTCCATTAGTCCTTAGAGGTGACAATGCATCTGAAGGCTTCTTGGTTTGATGGTGGCTGCAGGTGTCTATGGACTGTTGTAGCCATGCTGCAACTATATTAGTAGTAAAATTGTAGCACGAATGGGTCGGCTCGACCGGGGAAGGACCACGCTCTCAAAGCATGCACCTTAACATTGCTGTTCGTATCGTGAATATAGAGAACCGAAGACCCTTTTTACTGGAAACGCATCTGCATTTAAGATGTCTATGGGTCATAGTAACCACTTGTCATCAGGTGGACTGCAAAACCGTTTGTTACTTCAGTTTTATATAAAAAAGTATTATTTTTTGATAATTGTTTATAATGTGTAACAAACACACTCAAGAAAGCACGCACGCTGGCACACTTGCACGCACACTCGCACGCACACTCGCATGCACACACGCACGCTCGCACGTTCTCACGACCGCACGCACGCACGCACGCACGCACGACGAACGCACGCACGCATGCACGACGCACGCGTGTACGCACGTAATATTCATTATATTTTTTTTTCAAAAACTACTAGCAATGATTTTATCATTACTAATATTCCCTTTAACTACTCCTGACAACCTTGAAATGCTTGTGTTGAAAAGAATGGTTCAAGACAGCAGTCGAATGGCGGATTCGAACTAACGACCATTTGATTTCGCGTTCCGCACCCTTCCATTAAGCTACTGTCGATTTGTGAGTTACAGATTAAATATTGACCACTATTAGACAATTAAATAATTAAAGTTACAGATTATATTCCTAACATTATTGGAATGAATTGATAATTTTAACCAGTGGAAAAAATTGTTTGGACATTTGAACGTAGATGTCAATCGGCTTTGTTGTATGTCTATACTATGTTAGTCTATACCACAATCGCAACTTATGTTTCAGATGCTTTACAACAATGGTAGGGGGGACTGAGATGTTTGACGACCCGATGTCACAGTTTGCACCGACTACCTTCAGCTTTATGATTTAATTTCTTTTTATTTAAAAAAAAACGTTACCCCCACACTAGGGTTTTCTCCTGTATCGTGGAGGCAGTTTACAAACACAAATTGCACAAGGACAAACATCCAGGCGCGGAACCATTATTTGTAGGCCATGCAAATACTTGTTCCGTGCGGGATCCGAACCCGCGGCCTCCAGCACAGCAACTCATTGCTAAGCCACTGCGCCACGGAGCCGTCAATTTTTTTACCGATCTAAGCAGAACGAGCTTATGCGACGTCCTGCGTGAGCGATTTAGACGCGAACGCGAAGCGTTGCGGTGCGGCGCGAAAACAACAAACAGTCGAAACCTATTGAAGTGGCCTACGTGACCAAACGCACGTGGGGTGCGGTGCGGAGTGGCGCGAAATGAAGCGAACGCGATCAGTTGGCTTGATATTTTCGCGCGAACTGGATGCGGTGTCGTCGTGTTTTTATTTGGATAATGTCAGAAAATTTTATTAATGCTATCCAAGAACGTCCTATATTATGGGATAAAAGGAATAAAAATTATCACAACCGGTTATTATCGTACCGTGAATGGGAGAATTTGGATAAATTAACTGGGACTACTTCTTATTGCTAATGATACATCATAATAAATGTAAGAAATATTTCTTTTTCTTTTTTCTTACCTTAAAGTCACCATCAATTGTTCTTCTACAGAAATAGGTCGCTGGAAATTGGTACTAGTGAATTGCAAAACAGGTTTTATGGCTTGCACAATATAGTCAAACGTTGTAGGCAACATTCAACAATATTCCTTGAATAACAAAGGTTGAGCCCGTAATTCCTCACACAAATTGTGAAATTCCCCATAAATATGCCTTTCTAAGTATACAATATTAGTCCCACTTCTTCGCCGTACATACTTCTTGAGTATTTGATACTTAAGAAATGAATTTTCCAATAATATTTGTTTCCATCTGTCCATGACAAATGCACAGTGCCCACTGCACGGCGGCGTCGTCGGTGGCGGCTGTGCGAGACGATTCGCGTGCATGTAGGACATAGCCGCCGCGTCGCACCGCATCGCATTGATTTCGCGTGTACTCGTGTTCGCTTTGAATCGCCCACTTAGGACGCCGTGTTACTCTTTGGAAGAGGCCTTTGTTTTTCAGTAGACTTCTGAGATACTGTAATGATCTTTCTGATAACAACATTAAATAAAATCTGCGGTTGCCAAGCCCACCTGCCAAACGTAGGAACCATGCGAATAAATTATGGGGCTATCTATGTGGGAGGCATATTTTCATCAGTAGACTTTTTGTAGGAAGTCATGAATAAAAAGCAAACCTTAGTTGATATAATCACTATTTTCAAAATTTTTACTTAATATTATTACCTTATCTAATAATGTCATATTATTATTACGAGTAAGTAGGTGTCGTAAGAGAAGACAGAGGGGAAACAAATCAGGAGATAGGCAGCAGCGACTTTCTAATAACGACTAATAATTAAAAAACTGCGGTTCCTTACTCGCTTGCCAAGCGTGCCAACTAAGACAAATATCCTTATATAAAGCAATCTATATGAGTGAATATGTTCAGCAGTGTATTCGCACCGGTGATATCCATTAACGTAAAATGTCCCTTGTGGATCTATCATCATTTTTTATTCTTATTTTTATGTTGCCTGCGACGTGCGGGCCAACATCATAAAATTGATGAGAGTCACATACAAAATTACTTGTATTATCTTGTGGACTATCAATCAGTAAGTATAACATATGGCGTTACGGGAGCGTAATTTTACTTTGTATGTTTTTTTTTTCTTCTAATAATTGTGTAGGATTGAGATCACATTTATTTTTTATATAACGTCTTACAAAAAATATCTAAAAATCGCGCATAAATGAATATATAGCTGACATGAAACGACAACGTCCTGGGAAATCTGCAGTCTGTGAACATGTTCAAGATCGTCCCCGCTATTACATCAAATTTAATAGGCCACAAATCCAATCGAAAGCAAGCTTTCCAAGAATGATACTCGAGGCTTATCAGAATCTTCTTAGAATAAAATCTAAAATTAAAAACATGATAAATCCAATAGACAAGTAGGCTGGGTACCATCAGCCAACAGGATCTCTGTCATTAATAGAATGAAAAAACAAAACTAAATCCAAGCATACCACTGTAAGACTTCCAGATACAGTAATCACATTCTGTGTAATTAATAGAATCAGGCGTTACTTTGCGGAAGTCCATTATATTAAAGTTGGTAAAAAATTACTCTGCGTACATCCGCTCGATAAAATAAAATGATGTGTCTTATCTAGTTTGAAGAGCACCTCCCACCCTCCCTCAATTGCATGCACTATCACCGTCATCACTAATCCCAGCATGACTACTCCCACCAGAAAGTAATTAATTGTTTAAAATTATTTATTTATTTAAAACTTAAATGTAAAACCTAGAACTAAGTTAAGGTTTTTTTCTCAGTACGATATTCTTTTTTTATAAAAGTGAAGTGATAAACGAAATCACAGCATATATGATGCATAATGCATACATCATTTTATCTCTACTTCTCCTTTGGATCCCACAGTTCGTTCTACAACAATAGCTTTTTTTAATTCCATTCAATCCATGCCTTCTCCTCCTATTCCATTTTTTCACTTTTTACCTGTGACTGAGGATGAGATCCAGAAATCAGTATTAGCAATTAAATCCAAGGCTGTGAGTTGCGATAAGGTTAGTAAGGTTATGATATCCATGATCCTTGAGTGCCTTTTGCCTGCAATCACACACATCGTAAATTTTTCCCTCGGCTCAGGCCAATATCATACTCAGTGGAAAAAAGCATTTGTGCGACCACTTCCTAAAATACCTAATCCCTTATTACCTACCCATTTTAGGCCAATTTCAATGTTGCCGTACATATCTAAAGTTCTGGAAGCCTGTGTTCACAAGCTCAATGTCAAATCTCTATGTTCATAACCAAACATAACCTGCTGAATAAATATCAGTCAGGCTTTTGCGCAAGTCACAGTACTACCACTGCCTTGATATAAGTCACATATGACATTCGAATGGGATTGGATGAGCAGAAGCTTACAGCGGTAGTGCTTGTTGATTTTTCAAATTCTTTTAACGCAGTCGACCACGATATCCTTATAGCCTTCCTAGCTAATCTTAGATTCTCAATTCCAGCTTTAGAATGGTTTTCATCCTATCTTCGCGGCCGCCAGCAATCAGTTCGATTAGGACAATAGTCTTCAACATGGGCTGACATTGAAACAGGCGTGTCGCAAGGCGGAATAGTTTCTCCTATAATGTTTTCTCTATTTATAAATTCTATTATTCACTTCTCAACTGTTAGTATCTTCAGCTCTATGTGCAATGTAGTGTTAATGGCCTTAATCATAATATTAACAAAATCAATCACAAACCTGATGCCATAAGAAATTGGTCGTACAGACATGGTGTTTCAGTTAACCCTTCCAAATGTAAGGTAATGGTTATAGGTAGTAGCAGAATATTAGCCAAGGTTAATAGCGATGATCTTTCTCCCGTATTTTACACTGGAACATTGCTGCCATTTTGTAAATCTGTTAAAAATCTTGGCTTACATATAGACTATACGTTAAGCTGGGGAGTTCAAGTTGCTGATATAAGCCGTAAAGTTACTGCCACCTTACGTTCTCTTTGCCGTCTCAAAAACTTTCTGCCTTTTAAAACTAAGACTTCTACTTGTTCAGACTTTGATATTACCCATTATTGATTATGCGGATGTGTGTTACCCAGATCTATCTCAATATCTTGTCGATATGTTGGAGCGCCTTTTCAACAATTGCATTAGGTTCATTTTCGGCTTACGTAAGTATGACCATGTTTCTCAGTACCATTCTAAGCTTAAATGGCTTTCTATTCGTCAAAGGCGTAGCTCCCAAATTTTACAAGTACTATATTCAATTTTAAATGACCCAAATTCTCCTTCTTAACTTAAGGATAACTTTCAGTACCAATATTCTACTCATGATAGAGTTCCCCGTTCCCAAAATAATCTTAAAATTCGTATTCCACCACATGAGAGTGGTTTCTTTAATTCCTCTTTTACTGTGCAGTCCATACTGCTCTGGAATGCTTTGCCTGTTCATATAAAAAAAAAAACAGTAACAAACAATATTTTAAAAGACTAGTTCGATAATTCTTTAACAGCAATAATACCACCTGATTTATCCAATTTTTGTTTTTCTCCCTCTTTCGCTTTGTAATTGATATTTTGTATAATATGTATTTTAATATGCATCATGTTATTTTATTTTTGTGTTATATTAATTTATATTTATTTAGAGATTTTGTGTATATAAGTATTTTATATTCGTTTATATATTTTGTTTATATAAATAAGTATATTATATCCGTTTATATTTTGTATATATAAGTATATTATATCCGTTTATATATTTACTATTAATTTTTTTTTATTACAATGCATATAACATTAAGTTTGTATAGTTTAAAAATATTTTATTTATTTGTTTTTTGTTATATGATATAAAGTTTTTACTTATCTATTAATTTATGGAGTGGTGTTGCACCTACCACAGCTTCTCAAATCATCCAGGGTGACTGGTAGAGAATGCCACAAGGCATTAAGTCCGCCCTTTATATCCCTTATTATAAGGTAGAAGTAAAGAAGAATAAATAAATAAATAAAATGATGCCAATTAGCCTGTTACTATACTAGTTATCTATAACCTTCAGATCGGAGCACAGCAGTGATAGCAAAAATAGGTTAGATGGTCGTTTAACCTATTTTCGCCTGATGGGTGTCTTACCGTATAATAACTAGTTTTTTTTATATATAGAATAAGGGTTACACACGAGCACACAGACCACTTGATGGGAAGTGGATCCTGTGGCCCATAGACATTTACATCTATCCTCGATTAATAATCAAAATGCAAATGCATTACCACCCCTAAAGACAAAGATGGAATGCCTCGTTTGCAGTAAATAGGAGTCGCTGGTTCTTTACACTAAAGATATGAAACGCAGGCACATTTAATGCAGATATTCTGTGAGAGCGTGGTCCTTCTCTGGTGGTGCCGAGCAATTTGGTCGGTCGGTCTCACTGCACTTACATATTTAAATACTTATGTTAAGAATAAAAAGCAGATTTAAAATGACTATTGGAAATTGTAAAATTTATTATATGAGATTTGGGTAAAAATAAAATGTTGTGTCTTTGTAACATCACATCGGAAAGACCCACCAAAAAGTACTCACTACAGAAATATGACACACATTTCGCCTCTAAATCGGGTATCATCAAAAGAAACAGACGCAATAACTAACCGCTATTCGAAGTATTCGCGGTAACCTGATGAGAAGTTATAACTGTGGTCAAATATTCCACCAAATAGAATGTAATCACTACGTTTAGATTCCACAATCAAAAATTAAGATTTAAAAGCATTACACGTAATCCTTGAAGATGAAAATAATGGATTAAGGCAATAAATCCGCCATATCTACTATTTTTGAGTATAAAAATTTGAAATATCTTATTTATTTGAGGGAAATTTATTTGAGATGGTAAATAAACGCATTATAATTTTAGCACACCAACTATTCAATGAACATTAGCAGTCTTAGGAAGATATTTTTTTTATCAATCAACGTTAGGTAAGTTTCACCCCTCTTTTGTAAAAATATATATATATAAAGACCATTAATTCAAAATTCTAAAAATAATCCCAACACAACATTAAAACCTTTAAGTGGAGGTATTTTTAGACAAGCCTTGTTTCAAAACCTTTTCTTAATGTCAGGTGGCTCTTGATCAAACTTTGTCCTTTTAATGAAAAATCTTTTGTAATGTAAAAGACCGTCTACATATAGTTCATTGGTATTGTCTTACTATTGTGTCTTAAAATTGGACAATGTAAGTGTTAATATTACATACTTAATACAAAACGAACACTTAAATAATTTCACATTTGATGAAAATAACGTGTAATATACGTACAAAAAAAATCTATAAAGGAGCTTCATCCTTTTTTAAAGTCGTCAAAAATTAACAAAACCATGTCCATCAATCGTTACCGTTACAATCTATCGAAATCATCAATATCATCATCATTACAGCCCTTCACAAGTCCACTTCTGAACATAGGCCTCTCCCAAGGAATGCCACAAAGCACAGTCCTGAGCCACCTGCATCCATCGAATTCCTGCATATTTTACCAGGTCGTCACTCCATCTAGTGGGGAGACGCGCTAGACTTCGTCCGCCGGTACGAGTCCACCATTGGAAAACCTTTTCTCCGCATCTGTTGCCGGTTCTTCGAGCTATATGGCCGGCCCATTGCCACTTCAGGTTACTAATCCTAGTAGAAGCAGAGTGACCGACAGAGTGACCTATGTCGGTCACTCTGCTTCTACTGTGGATATCCTCATTTTTAAGTTTATATCGCAGACAAACTCCGAGCATAGCACTCTCCATAGCTCGCAGAGCGACCGTGAGCTTCTTCATCCGGCCAGTCTCAGTACCATAGGTCATCACTGGCAACACGCACTTGTTGTACAGTCTCGTTTTCAAGTTTTGAGGTATACCTGACGAGAAGATGTGCAGTAATTTCCCGAACGCTGCCCAATCGAGTTGAATCCGTCGATTGACTTCTTGGTCGAAGTTGGACTTACCTAGTCGGACTATTTGTCCCAGGTAAACATACTCGTCAACAACTTCGAGCTTAGTGTTTCCAACAACTATCATAGGCATAGGTGTGGACATGGACGTAAAACATGATTTTTGTTTTGTCCATGTTCATCTTAAGACATATCCGTTGGGAAACACTATTGAGGTCATTGAGCATAGTGCTTAGGTCCTCCAGCGATTCCGCCATAAGGAATATATCGTCGGCAAATCAAAGGTGAGTGTTCGCGCAAAACTCTGTTGTCGGAATCGACACCAGATGTCACTCGGCTCGGCGCGATTCCGGCCTGAAGTTCTTCCGAGCGTGGCAGTGGCGCGCGGGTCGCAAGCGAGTCAGTCATCGAGCAGATGTGCTAATGTTTGCACGCTGTTAATTTTGTGCGGGAACCGCGGAATAGTTAGGGCGTCTAGTAAATATCCTGTCTAGGAATTATAACGCGCATTCCCTGTTTGGATAGCCTTTCCCGGGACTTATTGGGTCCGACTCAGAATCTGTATAAGTGCATTCGACAATATAAGCTAGTGCGGCCTCCGTATTTAGAACTATCTATTGCCACGCGAACCGGTAGTGACCTTTGACCCAGAAACTCCGGGCGTGTTTTGTGCGGTAACCTTATACCCCGCGATAGTTAGTGGCTTCGGTAAGCTAGTTAATAGTACGATAGAGTTAAGTGACTGTCATCGTGGTGAACCAAGAAAGTGACTGTGGATAACCTCGAAAGGCCCCCTCAAGTTGGAGCGGTGTCGACGCTCGGGCTGCTGCCGACGGCTAAGGTCTAGGTTCAATCACCATCAGTCACACCCAGATACACACCACATCACCATTCTTTCCCTTGCACTACACAACCACATGCGACCTGACCGACTCCGGAGGGACCAGTCGCCTTGGATAGAGGTAAGTGAACTCCGCCAAATTCCTTCCGGTCGACTGTCCGTAGTATAACTCTCCCCCATATATTTTAGAGTAATTAGAGAGATTCCACGTGGCCACATTGAGCCCGACCTACGTCTGCTCGGGAGGACTTCAGCTCATGGGCCCCTGAGGATCTGATCCTTTAAGGGAGCAGCCGTAGGCCGTAACAAACTGGTAGCAGAGCGTGGTTCCGGGTTCGATTCCCGGTTGATCCCGACCATAGTGTTTGATAAACATTAAACAATTCTGGTGGCAGGGAGCGTTGGTTTGATTGGTTTAATTTGTATCTACAATCACGCCCGTCCGTAATACGTAAAAATATTTTTTTTGTACGTAATAATAGAATTATTTCCCTTTGTTCTTTGTTGCTTGCCTTTTTTTGGTTAGTGGGTAGATTTGAAAAGCCGCGCCCTAGGTTGCGCAAGCGGGAGTTTTCTAGAGATATACGTCATGTAGGTAGATGGTTATTTTTACGTAATCGGTTAATTATCGTTGTCGGATAGTTGTAGTGGATTACTTATCGAAGGGTCGATTTCCGAGCTAGGCATTTTTTGTTGATCGACCGTGATGTGTATCTTCGTTTATACTGTAATTTGTATTTGAACTAAAGAGTAGTGATTGTATTTGCGCAATTTGAATTTAACTTGATTTGATCGCACTAGTATTTGTTATTTGTCAATTTGATTTGTGTCTTTTCTTTTGTGCTAACTTGTATTTGGTTGATACGTAGTAATTCGTATT